GTGATTACAATAAAAACTTCATATAAAAACGATTGAAAACTTGTAGTTTTAGTTGTAGAAGTACAGTGCTATGTTCCTTAACTTTAAAAGAGTTTTTGTTCCAATTTAGAAAAACAAAACCTTTTACTGACATGAAATGTTCATTTAAGTAATCGATCATTTTTCTTGAAACAAGATAAGTCGATGGTTATTCCTGTTTGATTTGCTAGCAAATATAAAAGTAAGTTTCTGGATATTTCTGCTCCCCCTTTTATTAAGCGTTGACATGAAAACCCTGGTGAGAAATGTTTGATTTGCATGTGATTTGTGTGTCGTCGACTGCGGCTTAGAGAGTTGACACTCGCAGACGAAGCAATTATAGGTTTGCGCGACCGAAAGTGGCGACAAAACAAAGGGCACCGCCACCTAAAGCCACACCAAACCACTCCACACCACAGCAAACCTCTCCACACCAGAGCAAACCAGCCAAGGCCAAAGGATACAGGATAAAGGATAAAGGACCAAGGACAAGGGACACGGGACATTTGGTGACTGGTGCACCAGCACGTGTCAAAAGGAGCAGCTCCCCGAATTGCCGCCGCCATTTGATTTCATTTCCATCATCGGCTGGCTGCCTCTAATCCGAAAGGCAACTTGCAACCGAACGTGTGTGCGTGTGCGTCTGTGTGTGTGTGTCTGCGGCGGTAACAACTGCCACGCCCACCTGGCCAAACAACTTTCCACATGCACAACATCCGATTTATTTTTTGATTGATATTTGCGTAACTGTCAGCACTGGTGATTGATTGAAGGGTTACAACCAAGAAAAAAAAAAAAAAAAATAATAAAAAAACGCTTTCTGCGAAGCACAGCAAAAGTCAACTTACAATTACTGGTTAGAGGAATCGGGTTCGAAATCTGCGTAGGAATAGGGATGAGGATATAGGGATAAGGTTATAGGAATAAGAAGGAGGCAGCAGGACAAAGTGACTACTGTCAGTCGAGAAATTTGTATCTGAATAATGCGTAATGCGAAATAAATAAGTGGCATATGTGCTTTGTTGGTTGTCTGTCGGTTTTTCTGTTTTTTTTTTTTTTTCGGGGAGTGTGACAAACGATTTTCATTTTGTTTCTTTTTCCACGATGACTCTCACTTTCTGGCTGCGTTGAAAGATTGGATAAGTTAAGCCCCCGAGTTGCCTTGCCACGGGCTCAAAGGTTGTGCCCCAAAGTGGAAAAGGTCAGCGTCTGATTTGATTTGATTTGATTACCGCTAATCAAGTAAACTACTCGAAGCACACTGCCCGAAGATTGGCCAAATAAAGTGGCGAATATGGCCTAAAACAAGTTTGGGTTCTACTTAAAATAGAGGGTTTTCAAATCCCATTCGCTTTTTTAGGGACTGAGTTTTAGAAGGGATAAAAATACTTGAACATATGTGAGATCCTTTAGGTTCCTTTCGATACTTAATGAGATTGCTTTTTAATAATTTAACTGAGACACTCCTAAAAAAGAAAAACTATAGAAAGGTATTTCTAACAAAAATGGTTTTTGTTCTTTTTAAAACTTAAAGCTAAATATTCAGCATTCTTTGCTTAATTTTATTTTAAAGCAACATTAGGAAAGCTTTATATTTCCTTAAAATATTGTTAACTTTTTTTTTAGAATGGAAAATCCAAATGGTTTCCTTGTTCAAGTGAGGAGAAGCTAAATCAAATCTGTAAATAGTCACAACCCACGCACTTTCCCGAAATGTCATTTTAAATTTAGCTCCCCGAAAACCAAGAGAACTTTCGCTCATTTTTGAGAGATTAGTCCTGTTAAGACCAAGTTAAGTTATTGGTTTTTGTGCTGGCCCCGTAATGATGGCCCCAATTAGTTATCCCCTCAGCTCGTCGAAACGTGGACATTATTTCACTGCCATTGCGGCGGCACCCAAAAATTTTCCACTGAGCCCATACCAATGGCCACCCAATAATCCACCCACGAGTGTTTCCCCCCCCTCGACCACCTTTCGATTTATCATTTTAAGCCGGCAAAACATTATTTCTGTACTCCACTCGGCAAATCTTAACAATTAACACACTTTATGCGGCATTGTCCCAGCTTCCCGCTACCAGAATTTATTTCATTTTGTCTTTTTTTGTTGCCTGGCCTCTGGTTTCGTTTTATTTTGTTGGCCAAAATTTTGCGGAGGAGGGGGGAAGGTGGGGGTGGGGGAGGGCAACAACAACAATGCGGCGGCTGATGAAGTCAATGCCATTGCTGATGAACCTGACAAGGAGGAGGCTCCCAGTGACGCATTGCCTCATTAACACTAAAGCCCCGGCATTTATTTAGGCCAAGTTGAGGTGGCTGGTTTGATGAAGGGAGAGGGGGAGGGGGACAGGAGGGGAATATGGCGGGTTTCGTCCTGCCAGTTGGCACGCATGTTGGCCCGAAAATCCAGGGAAGAAGAGAGGGAGTAGGCATAAAAATAAAAGTGTCTCTTAATTTGTACGCCTAGGCTGAAAGCTCCCCTCTTCCCCTCTCTTTCCCACCTTCCCCCCTCTTTTCCTCCTTCCCCTTCCCCTCCCCCTTCTACAATTTCCCCGCTATTTAACTTTTTTTTGCTGGCGGTCCGTGTTTGATGGTCTCATCAAAGGCGAAACGCGCGGCGAACTTATTAAGCAGCTTTCATTTTTAATTATGCCTTCCCTTCGCCTTCGACTTCCACTTCGACTTCGACTTGTATATATATTTCTTTTTCCGTTTTCCCGCTTTCCGCTTTTCCACCCCTGCCCCTTACCCTCCCCCTTACCCTCACCCTCTGAGTTTCCATTTTGTTGCTACTGCTGCGCTGGCTGTCGCAAAAAATTAAAAAATCATTTTTGAGTCCAACACCTAGGGACTTGGGAGCTCGGGAGGAACTCCTCCTCATCCAGGACATCTAGCCGAGTGCAATCAATCACGTAAAATTTAATTAAATTCTTAAGAAAATTCAACAAAGATGATAATTATACCCAGTATTTTTAGAGCAGCGGAGTGTATCAACTATCTACTAAGAAAATCAAATAAAAACTATTATTATATCTACTCTCATTACAAATATATTGTAAACAATTTCTCATTATATAAAATATATTATTTAAAGTTATTTTGTGCAAAAAAAATTAATATTCGGTATACAAATTGGATGTAAATAAGTTAGAAATAATTTACAGAATATATAACGTTTGTTTTTGCTTTTTTTTCGAATGATGTTTAATATATTGTTGCTGAATATACCTTAAGCACCCTTCGTAACTGTGAACATAATAAAAATTTTGATTTGGCTAAAATTCCACGAAGATGCGACAGAGGTGTTCCGTTATGGAATAATACTGATTTAACGACCGATATGATTATTTCCCGGTGCTGGCAATAAATTGAAGCAGGCGCTCCAAAGTATTCTGCGATTGTTTCCCCAGCCAAGGAAAAGCAGTCATATTATGCACATAAATCATAAAAATAATGTCTCACTGTGCATGTGTGTGTAAGTCCGTTTGGATACTTGTGTGTGTATGTGTGAGCGGCTTGCAGCTACTGCATGTTTGTAGTGGAGAAAAGGGAGGGGACTTGGCCATCCGTCAAAGTTGTTTAAGTGTTTCTCTATGTTAATGCCATTCCAGCAGTTCTAGAAGTCATTCAAGACAAATGTCATCAGAGCGGGCAGAAAACATGCCATCGAAAAAGATCAAAGGGGTTGCGTTTGAATATATAATATATTAATTTTTGAATTTGTAAAGAATATAAATATTTAAAATAGCAGCAGAACATAAATAGCTGAATTCAAATTTTATACAAAACAATACTTTATTGCTATATTTTTTCGCAAATGTTTAATTACATCTTTCTCTCAAACTTTAACTAAATAAATCAATATAAACTTTTGTTTATTTCCAAAATATTTAAGTCATATGAATACAATTGTACAATTGGCAAAAATATTTTGTGGTTTAAGGGCTACCATTATAACATGTCATTTATTTAACATTTAACTTCTTATTTCCATTTAAACTTCAGTTTATTTTGTTCAAGAGACCCCTCTAAAAAATCCGAGACCACGCCACTGCAGCCAAAGGCCACCCAAACCCACATGGCCGCACTCAAACACTCACTTCTCAGTGGGGGACGAAGGACCCAAAGGAATTTTCGAGGGCCATTTACATCTAAGAGTGCAGCAGCAGCAGTGGCAACATCGCAAGCAGACCCGGAATCGCCAGAAAGGAGCTCTTTATACATCCTTATATCTCTGCATATGTGTATCCGTATATCTGTGAGTGTGTGTTGGTGTATTGGTATGTGTGTGTGTGAGCCACTGGCCGACACATTTATCACACATTGTACAATGCCATTTAAGCAGCTTGCCATTTGCGAGTTTAAGTGTGACAACGCTTTCGACCGGCTTTTCCCAATGCTTTTCTTCTGCATTTTCCTCCGATCAGCGGGGAATTTGCCGAAATCCATTAGATACTTTTTCCCATAGCGCCTATCTGAATTTCATTCCTTGTATTTTTTATTTGGCTGCAAAACAGGATGATACTCTTATTTAGAAGTTTGAAAGAGTTTGCTTTGCTAAACTCAATAGATTTCGATTTTAAATAGTTTCCCTTTCTGAATGTTTAAAATCCGTTGCAACCTTCTTAAAAGTATATATTTTCCCAGTGTAAAAAAAATGATTACTTATTAGGTCAGCAGTTGGACTCAGGTAAAGATAATCCAATTTAGAAACCAGCAGGCCTGCGCTAATCCGAAAACGTTTGCGAATCTCGTTTGGAGATGTGGATCAATGAATGAATCCGAAGGCTTTCATGAATCTGTTTTCCATTAAGCTCGTTGCGCGGCGATTAAAAGGGGGATTAATCCTCTACCCAGGATATACTTATAATCCTTTTCGGGCAGTTTCGCCAACTACAAATCGTATAAATAGATCGGTTTCTCGAGCAACAAGCCACAGTCAGTTGAGAAACTCAGACAGTGAAACACATAGAAGATTTACCATGGATACAACGCCGATCTTTCAGTCCAGCTTTTCCATTCGATCTTTGCTGGCGGATCAGAAAAAGGAGGCGTCACCCAACCACAACTACTGCGAAAATAGTTCTGAAGATGAGGGAAAGATACAGAATGCATCTTGCACCGAAAGCAAAAGCGATGCAAAGCCAGCTTTTACCTACAGCGCTCTGATTGTGATGGCGATTTGGAGCAGTTCTGAGAAGAGGCTAACTTTGAGCGGCATCTGCAAGTGGATCGCAGATAATTTCCCCTACTATCGGAGTCGCAAGAGCGTGTGGCAGAACTCCATTCGCCACAACCTCAGTCTGAATCCGTTCTTCGTTCGGGTTCCCCGAGGCTTGGATGATCCTGGCAGAGGTCACTACTGGGCACTCGATCCTTATGCCGAGGATTTGTCCATTGGCGAGACAACTGGACGTCTTCGCCGCACTAATCGCAATCAGAATCCGAATCACAACCAGTTGGCGAGAGGAAAGGCAGCAGGACATCCTTATCAAAGGATACCGCACTATATTCCCACACAAAGTATGAAGTCGTACGGAGCCTACTTTCCCGTAGTTGATCATCACCATCAGGCCGTAATGATGCAGCACTTCCACGCCTTGTTGCACAGAAACCAGTTGATGCAACACACCCATCAGCACCTCAGCACTCAATTCCAGCAGCAGCAGCAGCAGCAACATCAGCAACAGCAACAGAAGCATCTTTATCTCCATCAGATTCATTACTCACACCAGAAGTGAGATTCGAACGCGTTCGCCATCAATTTCAGCCAGGTTTTCCGCCTTCAAATTGCCACGATGAAACATCAGAATTAGTAAAGTACCTTCTTGGCGTCGAACGCAGCAAATATTGTTAATTTCAGGTGGGTAGATCACGAACCAAGTCAATTCAAGTCAAAGAGTGTTCATATGTTAATTAAGTATCTCAATAAGACAAGAATAATTACAAATAAAGTATAAATATCTAAGAAATGTTTTGGGTTTTCAATAATATTTAAATGGTTTGCTAAATGGGAAATGGGATGAAAAAAGATTGGTTTACAAGTACAAAACTTGGTTCTTAATCTTTATATTGATGCGTACTTAAATATAATATTAAAGGATGCAGAATATCAATTTTATTTTGAAATTACTTATATTATCTTAAAATCCAGAGTGTTGACTAGTTGTTGGTTTTCGCAGTGAGTTTTCAACTTGTCGCCGGTCGAAAAGGACTCGCCTCGCTGGCTGGTGGCTGGCACATCCAAATGCCGGCTGTAAATGACTTAAGTGCCTGGCATTTATCTACTAAAACGTGTCCTGCTTTTCGTCCTTGTCATCGTCACAGTTATTCACATTCACTCGCCGTTGCCGTTGCCGTTGTCGTTGGTTTGTTGTTGGAGTGGCAGGCGCAACATCACGGGTTGTTGCCGTTGTCACACCTGTTAAGTAAGTGAACCAGCGATGCGGATGCTGATGCTGATGCGGATGCGAATGCGGATCTAATGCGGATGAGGGAGGGAGGAGTACCATAGTTGTTGCACAAACATTCCAACTTCAAATTCATTCGGATTGTATGCGACGAAATGACTTTGAAACTTCTCGCCACTCGAACAATATAAGCCGGAATGCAATGACAACAGGAGTTTTCATTTTCATTTTCATTTACCGAATCCATTCTGTTTGCTCAGCCTGGCAGAAGTGAATGATCCGCTTAGGAACTGAATGAATACCTTGCATTTGGGACAACTTATGGAGCGATTTCCACTGATGTTGGGTCAGCCAAGCGATGATTTATTTCACAGATCCATTGTGTCGCTTTTCCGAGTGCTTAAATTAAAAGTTTTCTTCGATTGTCTGTGGCTTTCCCCCCAAAAAAAGTTACTCACGAGCAACGAATTTTCGGGGGAATTGTTTTCTACTTTTCTACACACACCTGACACCTGTTTTTTTTTTTTTTACTTCAGCAAGGGAATACATTACTACGTAATTATATTAAATAGAATCAGAAAGTTAAGCCCATTGAATTTCGTTTCGTGTCTCTTTTCGTGGAATAGGGGCATTACTGGACTTGGGTTTTTCCATTTTCCCAGGCAGGACGCATTTATTATGCTTTCTTTTAGAGTCGGCGAGTGGCTTTCAAAGAATCCACTCTGAATTTTGCGCACCGAGTGCCTAAACTGGGTCACTAATGCAGCCAGTTTTTGCAACCAGTTTGCATTGTCACCGAGTGCCGGGGAGTGGGTATATTATCCACCTTATCCACCTTGTTTATTCCGAGAAATTCATGAATATGTGAAAAGCGCCACACGGACCAATTATGAAATGAAAATGGTCGAGAGATAATACACGGTGCAAACAAAGGAAAAGTTTCTTTTTTGGCGCTTTAAATTCTTCCAAAAAAACCTATTATTTTTCTTGTTTAATTTTTTGAAAAGGAAAAGGAATTTCTCCCCGAAAATATTTGATAAATTCCGGAAACTTCTGGCTGAGTGGCCGCCAATCTAAATCTCGATTGAGTGTTTAATGTTTTGTCGCACAACTTACAGCGACTTCCTGATGATGCCACTTCTCATTTCAAGAAGCCCCGCCACCTGGCACATGACAAGATTTATTTCTCCATCGGCGCCCTCCGATTCCTCCTCCAAGAGCCCACTGCCATTTTCCAAATAATTACACATTTACATTTTCATAGACAATTTTCAGCAGGGGGGGTGACTTGATTTCACCTACATGCGAATAGAGCCTGACTTTATCGGTTGAAATGCCGGAAACGGAAACTCTGCAGATTGGATGGAACTACAGTGAACTATGGCGAACTGAACTGAAAGGGACCGACTGGAATTGGGTCCATTGTGGTGGCTTTATCTGGCCAATGTTTGCGCGCAATGTTGATGGCTATCTTTAAAAAGACATAAATCATTTTGGTGGCGGGGGGAGACGGGAGGAAGGACAGGCGGCCTAGTCTCAGTAATTAATCATGGCCCAAGGCGCTGACTTAATTCCAGCGAAGGACCGAACGACCAAAGGACCAAACGACCAAAGGACCAAACGACTGCATAGTTTTTGGGCCATGCCCTTCTCGTTTTGCCATTAACATGGCCATATCGCCAACCGAAAATGGCCTTTGTGAGTGCAAATTGTCGAATCAATTTGTAACGATTATGAAATCCTTTCGCAACGGTTGCGTAATTTGCACAAATTAAGAGCCATACTACCGACCCCTTCAGTCTTTAATTCGATTGAATTGAATGCGAGACAAGGTTCGGCGTGTTGGCGAATGTCCTGCTAAGATTTGAGGCGGTCCTTATCGAAAATGTCCAATGCGGGCCGGAAAATGCCGAATGCCGAATGGCGAATGCCAGGCATTTGCGAGCGAACTTCAAGCTAAATTAAATTCCACTTTTGGTCAATTGCACTCAAAGAACCGCAAATAGTTATTGCAATTGCAAAAGGCCTGCGGCCGAAAAGGGAGTCTCTGGTTTATGGTTTTCATGGGGCGTGGATTCCGATTGCGATTTTCCCGGGGGGCTGGCAGGTTAGGGGGTTTTCGGCATTGGGGTTACAAGATGGCCGAAAGGCGAAACGCAAACGGTTGAGATACGTGTAAGCGGAAGTACTAAACACACACAAGCGCAAACAACACACACAAACACACACACACACAAACACACACACACAGCGACACACACACAGACAATATATGTCATTCATTATTTAATATCTAATTATCAAATGTTGGTCTTGTTGTCATGGTTCTTGTTTGTTGCTGCTGCTGCGATAACAATTAAAACAAGGAAGGCGTCGAAATGAACATGAACAGCTGCCACCACAATTTGCCCACTGGCCACGCCCCCCCCAACCCGAGGAAAACTCGCATGACAAGCAATTGAAATTGCAAGTGGCCACGCCCACTGGCCCAAGCATCAGTTGTACGCCTTAATTGTCGCTCTCGTTGTTGTCGCAAATTTATGAGCCGCATTTTGGAGTGGTTTTGGTTTGGTTTGGTTTGGGCCTTCGCCTCGGTGGGCCAAGTGAGCATTTCTGGTTATTGTTATGGCGGAAGTGCGGGCCCGAGTGCTTCGCCAATTAGACGGGGCATCCGTGGAGCGGGAAAATGTGGTTTTCCGACCCCCCCCACCCCCTTAAATCGGACTGAAAACCCCGCCGGCAGCCCCCAAATAAAGCGAACTATCCGTAGTTCGGAGCGTACTTATCGCACCGTCATCGCACGAAGGCCTCGACCTCGGTTAATTCGATAAATAATGATTATTACACTTTTATGAGACCTCCTGTCGGAGGACGCCATCTAATATCCAAGTCAAGGCATTACATAAACTCCGCTCGGGAGAACTCCACTGAATATAACCTGCATAAAGTGTACAAAACTTGGTTTATCTCAAGGGGGAAGGCTTTTTCTTTAATGTTTCCAGGCCTATAACATACTTGCTAACCACCTTTTTACAAAATAAAAAATAATGACTCAAACTAATAAACTATTATCCAGTTCGAAACAAATTTGTACAGCAAATTCATTAAGCTATACCACTTAAGAATCGGATAAAAATTAGATAAGCTATTGATATAAAAGTGCAAGAATTGGGTTATAAAAAATGATAAAATATCGGCTATAAAATGCAAATTTTACTAATCATGCAGCTGGTTAGATATTTTAATAACAAATTCAACCAGATGCACCACTCATAAATCGGATAAGAATTAGAAAAGTTATTGACTTAAAAGTGTAGATATTTTTATCAATAATTCAATAAAAACCACCACAAACCATTTAAAAATTATATTTCAAAATGGTGGGTCTATTATTCCATATTTCTTGACGCTTCAAGATTTGTGTGCTATACTTTGAATATTGGTGAGTCCCTTCAGGATATCGATTGATGACAACTGATGGATCCACGTGACTTTGCTTTCGCGCGAACAGCCAAAAAATAAGAAAGGACTTTCGTGGAGGGAAGTGATTGAGAAGGGGAAAAATACGTGATAAAAAGTATGGTTCATGCAACTTGTGAGCAATAAATCTTCAATTTATTACAAAACAATTAAAATTAATGAGCGAAATTGAAAATGTGCACGTGCGCTTCCTGCTGCGTTTATGCGGGGTTCGATTCGCAAAGTTACTTTAATTCACGAAATTCGGAGGCGCTTAAAAGGTTAACGGAAAACTTATATCTACTCGTAAGAATATTGGAAATTTTTTTTTAACGATTTGCTGAGTTGTACTATTAGTAGCTTTAATCTATTGATTTTTTTGTGCTTTATCAATGAATGCTTTGTTTTGAAAAATTCTACTGCTCTTAAAGTTATTGGCATAAACACATTGTGTTTTTCCTCGTCACAGACGCTTTGGTGTGAGTGTGCGTTCGTGTGGTTGTGTGGGTGTGCGTTGAATACAAAAATGTAGTCATAAACTTTGCCAATTGGCAACCATTATAGATTGCAAGGACCAAGGACCAAGGACCAAGCCTGGCTATGCAAAAGTCCTGGCTCGTGTGGAAAATAACTGAAACGAGTGCTTCATGGCTGTGTTTTTGTTTTAGTTTAGGTGGCATAAATAAAAAGTAGGAAGTGATTTTTGTAATAATCCTCAAAAACAGTAAGTAGAAAATATCTCTAAAAATGTATTAAAAAATATTTTATTTGTTGATAGTTATCACAAAAGTCGCTCTCATGGAATATTTTCTTCTTTTACTATCTTTTACATGTTGATTTGGGCTGACTTAAGGATTCAACTCTTTTAAAAG